TGGGCAACACAGAGAGACTTCGTCTCTACCAAAAAAATAAATAAATAAAAAGCCAAGCATGGTAGTCCCAGCTACTTTGGAGCTGGAGGCTGAGGCAGGAGGACTGCTTGAGCCCAGGAGTTTGAGGCTGCAGTGAGCCATGAACATGATGCATTCTAGCCTGGGCAATGGAGCAAGACCTTATCTCTTAAAAAAAAAAAAAAAAAAAGGCATTTCCTTGAGCTTCAGTTTTTTCATCTCTACAATGCAAAGAGCACCTACCTCATAAGTGTCATGGAGATTAAATGAAATTGTGTATGTAGAGCATTCGTTCCCATCCCAAACACAAAGTTAGCTCTACCAATAAGCCTGCAAGGGAGGCATCAGTATCTCCATATTATAGGTGATGAAGAAACCACTTCCAAGAGGGGAAGTTATTGCTGCTCAGAGTGGAACCAAGAGCTACAGCACCTGCATTTTTGAAACTAAACCCGAAACCACATTGGTCTATAAACCAAGGCTAACAAATCCTCAGCTTTCAAAAGTCTTCCAAGTTATCACTGCTGCCGTCTCCTGCACAGAGATATAAATACAAAACCCAGGAAGGAGGGCAGTCTGCAAACATTCTTGAAAATCTGCTCCTGAGCAAATAGTCTACAAGCTACCAAGTGGGCAGGTTGTGGATTCATAAGCAGTACAGCAGAGCATAAGACTCCTGTGACTAATACACTGGTGCCACCACCTTTTTCTTCTGAGAGTATTTCACAAACAGGTCTTATTGGTAGCATAAGAGTGAAGGGCACATAGACAAAATTTGACACTTAAATCCCTGCTGTCATTTTATTGGCAATGAATAAAATGATGTCCAAATCTCTTTACAGTGAGTGATTTACTGTTTTAATTTTAAAATTTATTTTTACAGTCCAAAATGCACATCATTAAAGTCAAAGAGTTCTGAGAAAGTTGCAGTAAAAACCAGTTCTTCACCCTCAATCTCTGAAGACAATCTCTTGGGTTGATTCTGGCTGATATCTGGGTAGTTACCTTCATATCTCTAATTGTGGAGGTAACTTGACTGTACTTCTTGATTATTCAGTTTTACTGCCTTTCTACCATAGCTCTTTCCTTCTCCAACCCACCATGTACCCTACCCAATCCCCCAATGTAAGTTTTCAGTTTCATAATATGTATGGGATAGCTTAGTGGTCAGTGTTTACATTATATATAAATGGTTTTCAGCTTCCATTTAGAAAGCTATCTTTCTTATCCTGCCCAATTTTTTTATCTCCCTGGAAGCAACAACTGCCCTTTCCCACCTCACTTGTTTGCCTCATTTTATTTGTTTTTTTTTATTTTTTTTTTTTTTTTTTTTTTTTTTTTTTAGAAAGACAGATCTCACTTTATCGCCCTCGGTAAGAGTGCTGTGGTATCACACAGCTCACAGCAACCTCCAACTCCTGGGCTTAGGCAATTCTCTTGCCTCAGCCTCCTGAGCGAGTAGCTGAGACTACAGGCACCTACCACAACGCCTAGCTATTTTTTTGTTGCAATTTGGTCGGGGCTAGGTTTGAACCCACCACCCTCAGTGTATGTGGCTGGCACCCTACCCACTGAGTCACAGGCGCCAGCTGTTTTGTTTTTGCTAGTAATTCACCCCCCTGCTTCACTTGTCAAAAATCTTTATACATTTTGGCAGATCAGATCAGGCATTCTGTCAAATTCCACCTTCTTGTTTCCTGACCTGTCTTAATTTGTCATGTGATTCTCTAAAGCTGAGGCAGTTTATCACCCTCAAAACATACATTGTTCTTGGGTGAAGCATACCCTCCATTCCATGAAGTCCTTGCAAGTATGAAAATGTTCTAGCCTCATACAGAATTATAGGTTGAAATAATTTTCCTTCAAAAATACCAAAGGCAGACTCAGTGCCCATAGCACAGTGGTTGCGGCACCAGCCACATGCACCAAGGGTGGCGGGTTTGAACTCAGCCCAGGCCAGCTAACCAACAATGGCAACTGCAACAGAAAACAGCCAGGTGTTGTAGTGGGCACCTGTAGTCCCAGCCACCTGGAAGGCTGAGGCAAGAGACTCACTTGAGGCTCGGCGCCT